AAGAAATCTGAATTGATTTGAAGATTGCATCTATAGCTGGAGAAATGGCTTACTGACTTAATTATCCTTGCAAGTTATTTTAGTGTATTGCAAGCAGGTCAAAGTGGGTGTTTTCTAAAAACTGTCTTTGCAGCTGCTCTCAATCTACCCTGCCATAGACCAGGAGGGCTAAACTAACAGGGATGTATAGGAATGCAAAGGGATCTAGTCAAAGTTGTAATACAAGTATGAGAAGAAGAAAGTTAGGAAAGGTATTTTTCTATAATGTGGAAAGAGGGACAAATGATCTTTTGCTCTCTATGTGATGGAATAAAGTAAGATTTCTGTTCTAAATGAAATCTTATGACCCCTTATTTTCACCTTGAGAGGTTTTTTGGTTGAGGAGGATTGGGGATGGGGGTCTCCAGGCTCCTTGGTTTAGATGGCACAAGAAATGTCCCCACAGTTTAACATAGGCATATTGTCCACTAATGTGTTAGAAGATGTATCCTACTATGGGGTGTTCAGGCCTTTTCAATGACAATTCAGGGCTTGAAGAACAGTTTATTCTCTGAGAAACTACCTAATAGTTACTGTAGTATATCCTTGGGATCCTAGTAACTTTTAGTAGTAAGATATCTAAAATTGACAACATAATCTAACATTCTTTTACCTAGGTAAGGTCGGGGTTTCTTACGGAAGAATTTGAACTTGTGGAAATTAAAAAGAGGCATGAATTAACTTAAAGATAACCTATGACAGCACATAAATAGGTTTGTGTGTCTCATAGAGATGTGACTGAAATCTCAGCAAAATCAACTTAAGAGTGGTTTTGCTACTGTAAATAAATGACCACTAGCAAAATGTGGAGTCAGTTACTACAGAACGGAAAGAAGGACATTAATGTCTCAAAAATTCACATAAGAAAAAAAAATGCAGTCAAATTCAGCTCTAAGAGCCTTTTACTTGGGAAAAATCAATAGGTAAGTTAGATGCAGTAATTGCTATTTTAATTAAAGACAAAACAACATTGCTCTGGTTATTTTTCTATTGAAAAGGCACAATGTTTTTATTTATAGCTTTAAATGCTCCATTTATCAATTTTCCTAAAATAATGGACTTGACTGGGAGTGCTATTTCTGTTTCCTACCTGTGTCTTCTATTATAGGACTTAGATTAGCTGGATAGATAACTTAGCAAGTTCAGGAGTGCAGATTTTTTCTGGTCATTTAAGATTTATCAAGGTTTTATGTACATTTCTCAAGAACAATAATCTAGAACTTTAGTAGAAGTATGCAAATAACCAGTTTTTGTTACCTAGTAAAAATAGCACCAAAGATTTGTATAGTTAACTATAGTCAACCCTAGTTGACATCAATTTGTAGAGCAGACTTTTGCATAGGAAAGAATGATAAGGTATTCTCTGAAACAAGACTCCAGTATCAGATACTAGTTATATGACTTAGAAGTCATAATTTGTATGTTTCTCCCCCTCTATAGTTGGTGTAATACCTTAACCGGTCAGGGTGAGCACTGCATTAACTACACCCTTCACAACTGCATGTACTAAGGACTATGATGTAATTGGTCATTATTCCTGTTAGAATCGGGGAAGTGGGAAAAATTGGTTTATGATAGAAACTTTGTATTTCCAAGATACACTGCTTTTTAAGTTATTACCTTAAAGTTTCCAACCCCCACCCTCACCAAGTATGTCATCTACTTTGCCTTTTTTACTTTTCTGCTGTGCCCTCTGACAGGAGTACTAATGGTCAGTGAAAGTGCCAAACACTGGAGGATGAAAGCGGCATGGGCTTAAAGTGCTCAATAGGGTCTGTCTCTAGATCCACTGTTTCAAGTCTTCAGGAAGGAATTGGTAATAACTTAATATTTTATTGACTTAATCCAATCACAAGAGTAATGAGTATTTGGTGAGAATGCAAAAATGTAATTTAAAAAACTATGGCTAGAGATAGTCACTAGAGTATTTTGGTGTATATTCTAGGGTTTTTTGTTTTGCATTGATTTACAAAAGTGAGGTGATTTTATTCAGCCTTTTGTAATTGACCATTTCCATGTCAAATATTGTTACACTTGGAAAAAGCCTGTATAATATGCCATTCATGAGTTCTAAGATCCATTCCAATTTGTGTGTACAGGGGGGACATCCATCATAGAAACTGATGGCATATTACAGTTTAGCACTTTTTCCTACTCAGAGCATAAAGTAATGATTTGTTCTAAAACTAGTGGAATCTTAAGATTCCATGAAATTGAGTTTTATTGTATAGTTTGATTTAACCAGGTACCTACTGAAGGGCATTTAGGCCCCCTCTCCATTTTAATCTATGGTGTGATCAATCCTTTATCCAATTTGGTATTTATACTGTTTCTTTAGTCTACATTGCTAGATGTTGAGTTAGCTTATTCAAATTTTATTGGATATTGTCAAACTGCCTCCAGAAAGCCAACTAAACATTGCTGGTTGTGTGCACCAGTTTCTCTGATTATACTGGTTAATAATTATTCCTTTAATTTTGCTAATTTGGTAAGTGAAAAACGGTATCTTTCATTCCTTTGACTATAGGTGATTGTTTCATGTTTACTGGGCAGTTACATGTATTGTGAGTTGGCTCTACTCTGTCCGTTGTTTTTTTTAAGTGTTGGCTTTTTTCATATTGATCTGTAAGAGCACCTAATTAAGTTAGTTCTCTTGGGCATATATTGCAAATATTTTTATCTAAATTGGTATGTGTGTTTTGCAAAGTTTTAATTTGTTGGAGATTTATTCTAGTATAGGCTGTGATGTAAAGATCTGACTTCTTTCCATTGACAGGCAATTGATTGAATTGCTTTATCTTTTATTAGTGGAAGGAAGAGACCTTTCTGATCTCTTACTCTAGAGAAATGATAGAGAAGTGATTTACTTGAGAGTTCACCTATCAGCCTTTCATAGGGTGGATAATATGAATGTCCAGGAGTCTTGCAGGTTAGGAAGAGAAAAACGGGGCTCCTTTGGGGGGCTTGAGCTGAGATATTGGAACAGATCACAACTGTATCAGATGAAAGAAAAAGACAGCCTAATGGAGAAAAACCAAGAATTGAACATAGGGGATTGACAAGAATAGAATGTGCCTAGCTGGCATGTTTTTCACTGGCCTCAGGGCATTGGTGAGTTGCAGCTGTGGGCTATTAATGGAAGCTAAGAAATCAGGACAGAATGGAAGGGGAAAGTCAGTAAAGGGAAAGAACTAGATAACACTAATTTGACTTTCTTATTGCCTAAAAAGAAGACAGAGACCCAAAGAAATAGAATCTCTAGCTTCTGGGAAAGAAGGTCCTTTCAAGGGACAATTTAAGATAAGAATCTACACAAGAATTAGTGGTGGAGATTCCCATGAATCCATTGAGTGAACTTGGACTTTTAGATTTAGGTCTCAGAAAATTAAGGAATTCGATGTGTTTCCATAGAGCAGATATTTGTGTTGCCTTTGGGATGTATGGAAGGAGTAAGGCTTAATATCATAGCTAATTTTCCTGTGTAATGATAGCTGGGTGTGTGAATATGCATGAATATTAATGAGTTTGACCTAGTCCTGGTTAAATTTAGGAGGCAGCCCAATTTGGTATTATGACTGCATCTGTAGGACGAGGGGATTGTAACCAAAAACTACTTGACAAGGGCAGAACAGGGGTACCCATCCTCTGTCATTTGTGGAAAGAGGATATTTTATCTGGCAAGAGTGAGCAGCCAAAGGCATGCTCAAATGGGTCTTTAAGAACCACTGCTACATGTATTACAGCAATGTTGTCAGTGAACAGTAGGGTAGAATGTTGGGAATGAAGAACAAATACAAACTCAGGTGTCCCAATAAAAGGAAGCTGGCACAGCTAGATTAGCTTCTGGAACAGAAAGAACAAGGTGAAAACTGTCAGGTGTTGGCTCTTAATTTTTATTGATAGTCTACTATGAACCATGTATGGTGTGAGGGAAGCATATCATTCCTGTCTTAACGTTATTTATAGTCCAGTAAATTATTTTCTTTTTAGGAAAATAGATGACCACAGGATCACTCGGGGAATGGAAAGGGTCTAGCTGGGTAATAGGGAGATTGAGTGTTGGGTCCAAGTGAGGAGGGGAAGAATGACTAAGATGTATATCAGGCCAGCAACAGAAAATCAGAGCTAGGTAAAGCAGCTATTTCAAGAAGAGAATTTGGCTCCCATTGCCAAGAGGTGACAAGTTAGTTTGCTTCTGAGGAGGTGGCCTTGTCTGTTATGACCTATTATAAACATTCAAACAAGGGGCACCACCTCCTGGGTATAGAGAAATGCTCAAGCTGTTGAGATTCAGGAAACCATGTGTGGGGGTGCTGCTCAGCCCCTAAATAGAGTAGAATAGGGGTGTAAGGAAGGAACTTAGCTTTTCAAAGGAAGCCTGAGAGAACTATATTAAATCTGGAATGGCACTTAGCATAAAGAAAAACATGAACAAGCAGAGCAAATGTTCATCACTTCAGTTCCTAGAGCTCTGAGGGACATCTGGTAAACCAAAGCTGTCTCAGTGCCAGTGGTTGGGTTGGGATCAGGCTAGGGTGTAGGCCCTGGGCTTGACAGGAATTTAAGAAGGTTCTTGGACTTTTCATCCTGTTAACTTTGGAAAGGGTGATTAACATTTTGAGAAGACTTCCCTTACCAGCTTAGCAGAAGGGCTTACAGTGAAGGGATAGAAGCAGTGTTGGGGTGGGGAAGGTGACAAACCAGTGGCCACAGCTTTAAGTGAGTAAAACATGTATCATGTTCCAAGTTCATGTTGGGAAAAGAATTACCTCCTGGGCTCAGTTCAGCACCAGTTCCTCTTTCTGAGGAAGGAAATGCAGGATGCATGTGAGTGCAATCATAGTGGTTTGGGTCTTAGACCCTGAGATAGCCTAGATCCTGAAGGCAGCAGCTGCTGCAGCATAAAGGAAGCAAGGTGTCAGAAAGCTTTTGGCACACTCCTTTCTAAAACATTAGATTTCAGAGAGGGGAAGCTGTTTGCCTAAGGTCATATAGTGAGTTTACAGTAACTTTCCACCATTAAGCTGTTCTTCATTCACTGAAAGAGGGTAAAGAAAATAAAACAACAGGACAAAAGGTATATTTGTATAGTCTTTCACAAATAAGAACAGTCATGACCATCTTGGAAGCCCTTTTAATACTGATGTTTACCACAATCTTTTATGTCCTCCCCTATAAAACTGGGTTGATCTGTTTTGAAGACTCCCTGTAATACTTTAGTGTATCTGTCATTTTGACTTCTGCCTTCCAAGATAGTAGCCACTAGCCATATGTGACTAATTACAATCAGAATTCAGTTCTCAGTCATACTAGACACATTCCAAAGTGGTCAACAGCAAACGTGGTTCATATCACCTGCACTGAACAGTAAAGATTTAGAGAACATTCCTGTCTTAGGCCTGTTGGATGCTACTGATCTAGGTGTATGACCTGGTATGGAGCAGCAGCTTTATAAAGCTTGGACTGTTAGCCATTGCTAGTAAGAGACTTGATTTCCATTCTATTCTTTCCCTTTACTGGTCAACCTGGTGAAGAAAGGTGTGGGAACCTACATTGGAGTCTTTAGGTACACACGATATACCACTGACCCTTGGATAACACAGGGTTGAACTGTGTGGGTCTACTTAGGTGGATTTTCTTCAATAAATACTATAAATCTATTTTTTCTTAATGATTTTCTTAACATTTTTCTCTAGCTTTATATAATACATATACAAAATAAGTGGTTATGTTACCAATAAGAGTGGTTAATAAGCCAACAATGGCTAACTTTCTGGGGAGTCAGAAATTATGCAGATTTAAGCCTGTGCCCCTAACCTTGACATTGTTCAAGGGTTAACTTGAGAAGGCAAGACAGGCATCTGGGTTACAGCCATTTCTCAGTTCCCAAGATTCACCCTGAGCTTTTTGTTTGCCCTTTATTTGGAAACAGACTTGATAGCAAAACCCCAGAGGGGATGACTGCTGGGGCAGTGGGCTGGGGATGAGGGACACATTGGGGGTTGGGCACAAGGGCTTTCCAAGCTTCCCTACTCACAGCATGAGGGAGCTGCACCCCATCTTTAACCGATCCAGAGTCAGCTTCTTATCACAGAAGGTGAGTGGGTGAAGAGAACTTGAGGGGAAAATGGAAAGAGAGATTTGCTGAGGCTTTAGTTCTTCCAGAGGATCAGTTACAGGAGCTTCGTGTGAAGGAAGATACTCTACATTGGAGGGTAAGTATCCCTCATGGGTGGGAAGGTAGTCCATTGGGAAAACTGTCACGGGGCCGGCTAGGTGTCCTGGCTTTGAGTCCGGGCCCCTGCTCCCCAGCATCTTGTATAGATCCACGAGTTGTCCTGTCTCTACTATGAGAGCTTTGGGAGGTGGTAGGCTTGAGGCACTGTATCGGGTGTCTTCCTCAGAGGTATAGTGACCTTGGACCCCTCGTCCCCTGTCTGGCCAGTTGGGGTGATGAGGATGTCTGAAGACTGGGGTCACTTGAAGGACTTCATTGATAACCAGCGGCTCAGGTTCTTCAGGAGTAGACAAGTCTGTCAGCAGCCTATCCAAGGGGAGCTGCATCTTCTGAGAAAGGGGAGAAACAGGCTAATAATACAGCTCTGTTACAAAGGATACTTCTCCCTTGACAACGGACTTCAGGGTTCTGTACTGCCTAATTGGCTCCAGGTGGGACATTGTGGGCCCTTGACTTTGTGGCAGGAGTGAAGCAGTTAATGTTGGGAACTGACAGGAGCCATGGACTTCTCAACCCCCAGCCAGTGAGTACTTCCTTAGGATTGGGGGGGGGGGGAGAGTTGTGGGGCTTTGAAAGTCACTCTAGAACTGAATCTTGAGAGAGATACTTTCCAGGTAGGAAGGTGATGGGCAAGGAGTACTGGTCTGTTCTGGAACCTGCTAGTTCTTTTGATAGGTAAACATAGGCTTGAGAAATATTATGAAGAGATTTTTAAGAGATGCTAATGACTTTGAGCTTTGGTGCAACTACTCAAAGGTTCAGGGTAATAATATTCTCCTCAGTTCTGCTCTTAAGAAAGACCCTCTGGAGTAACTTGGAAGAAATTTTTATCTTTTTTCCCCCCTACAGCTAATTTGGTCTGTTACACTCTTACCTTAGTAAGCATCACTTCAGTTACCAGTTCTTCAGTGTCCTAGCTCTTTCCTTTCCAAACTTAACTGTGGATTCCTGAGTCCTCCAAGTCCAAGCACTCTGTTAACATTTCTCTTTCTGGGCTTTATTGGGCTCAACCTACACCCTCAAAACTATCTTTCACACTGACTGATCTTTTTAAAGCAGAGTTCCAAAGACTTCAACAGCTCAGACTTAAATATGCAGTGAACCTTCCAGCCTTTAGTTTGGCAGTGGGTTCTGCACCTTCCTCTACCTCCCCATATTTCCATTCAAAACCTTTCAGGACTGTCCTGGTCTTACTAAACACATTTTTTCTCAGTGCTACCACCACGCTTCGGCTTCCATACTAGCCTCCACCCTGCTTTTGTTTGCTGTCCCTTTTCCTGCTTGATGCCTTCCTCTTTCATGGCGCCCCTAGTGAGCCCCTAGTGATTGTTTCCTTCCCTGGACTCCTACACCAGCAAAGAAACCACCAATCGGGTTCTTGGCACATGATGTTTTATACTGTCGTCGTTTTTTTGTTTTTTCTTACATGTTCTTAAGCCATCTTTGAATGGGTATCTTTCAGGCCTTAAGGGAGGAGTAGGATGACAGGGAAAACCCTGAGGACTAGTCTCAAGTCTGATGCTCTATAGCTTGGGGAAACTCCATCAACCTCTCTGACCTTTTGTTCCCCCATCTGTCAAATGCCAAGTTGTGCAAGAGTGGATTTTGGTCTGGATTTGCTTCTGATGTCCCCTTCCTTTCCTTGAGCACGGCAAGCATCCAAAAGTGAATGATGGTGCTGTCTCAGAACAGACTTCTACAAAGGACACTGACAAGCTAGAGGGTAAGTGTGTGTGTGTGTGTGCGCGCGTGTACGTGCGTGTGCATGTTGGGGGTGGGGTGGGGGAGGATGTGCTCTTTTCTGATGGCTACCCAAACTGACCCTGGCACAACAGTCTGGCTTGGAAGATGGCCTTCAGCTCTGGAAAGCACAGCTGCCGAAGCACGGTTACCCAGAGGTGGGAGGGACTATGTGGAATACACACATGGCTAATTATTTTCCATAGGTGGGGCATGTGCTCTGCCTCCTTGAAGGTTCTGACCATGTTGGTGGAGCTTGCTCCTTAGAGCATGTACGAAGCAGGCCCTCTGGGTAACACATCTTAGGGCAGTCCTCGGGTACCTCAAGGACCCTATTTAGCTTCTATAGGTTCAAAATGGAGAACATCCTAGTGGTCCCCTTTATGATTTGGCCTTTTCCTCCATAGCTTGAAGACCTGCTTTTTAGCCACATCTTAAGAAGTAGGGGGATCTAAGGCCTGAGAATTTTGTTGGAGGTGAAAGACAGACTGTTGTGTTTATGGTGTCTGCCTCAGCCTATCACCGGGAGAGCACTTTGGGTCTTTAGAAGCAGTCTGCCCACTTCAGGGGTTGAGTGTCAAGGGTTCCGGAGGCTGCCTCAAGACCATCACTACGGATGCCATGTTTAAGCTAAATTTTATTTGCCAACTTACCGGTTTTTAGTTTAGTTTTGTTTTTTTGCAAAAGATATAAATGCAAACAGTTTTGTAAAATAAGTTCAAAGAGACTTTCTAATAAAAATTAAGTGGCCCTCTTATCTCCAACAACTCACTACCCAAAGGTGACCAACATTATCAGTTTCCTATGTAGGCTTCCCAGAAATACCCTATACACCTGCTGGAGTTGAGAGTGTATATAAAATTTCTCTCCTTTTTATGCAAATGAGAACCCACTTTAGACAGCTGTTGCAAACTTTTTTTTTTTTAACCTTTAGGTGTCTTAGGGATTTTTAGACACATTATAGATCTCAGGGTTTTTTTTTTTTTTTCAGTAGTTGCATAATATCCTGTCATATGGCTGTGCCCACGTTTAACCTGCTCCCCTGGTGGCAGGTTGCATTATGCCCAATTTTTTGCCATTCTATTTATAATGCTACAGTGAACATACTTCTACAACTTGGGGCATACGTATGGCCATTTCCATTCTCTTTTCCCTTGTTACTATCTCTAACCCTTTGTGTATCTTTCTCAGCATTTCTTCTAGGTTTTTATGGGCCCTTCATAGGCCTTGTATGCCTCTGTATCCCCTCATGCTCAAACAGGTAAACAGAGACCATGACGCCAAAGCTACAAGTTTGGGAGCCAGGTGTCCGGGACTGACCCAGAGCTGTTTCCCACCATGCTATTTCAGGCTCTTAGGACGTGGGACGGTGGAATGTCAGCATTGGAAGACAGGGATCTTAAAGCTCAGCTGACTCAGCTCCTGGTACTTGCATGCCCATAGGTCATCGCAAGATTGCCACCAAGTGAGGGCCCAGTGTGTGAATACATCTTCAGTTAGTCTGTTCAGCTCAGAGGTGTTGAATATTAGAAGCACTTCCCTCACCCTATGCTTAAAGATCTTTTAGAGCATACAGTAAGTGGCAGATAGCACATGCTACTTGTATGTGAATCCAGGAGCCACCATTTACTAGCTGACTGGCGTTGGGCAAGTTACTTAGTCCTCTGTGCCTCAGTTTTCTCATCTGAAAAATGAGCATAACAGTAGTACAACCTCATAAAGCTGTTGTGTGGATTAGATTTTAATGCATGAGAAAGGTTTTTAAAGTGCCTGGCATATAAAAGTTATATAATATATTAGATACAACTCATTGTGCTTGGCTTTATTGCACTTTGCAGATACTATTCTTTACAAAATGCAGGTTTGTGGCAATCCTGCTTCAAACAAGTCTAGTGGCATAATTCTTCTAACAGCATTTGCTTACTTTGTGTCTGTCATATTTTGGTAATTCTTGCAACATTTCAAACTTTTTCATTATTTGTTATGGTGATTTATGATGAGTGATTATAATTTGCTGAAAGCTCAGAAGAGGATTAACATTTTTTTACTAATAAAGTATTTTTAAATTAAGGTATATACATTGTTTTTAGACACTGCATTGCACGCTTAATAGACTATAGTATAAATATAACTTTTATGTGTACTGGGAAACCTAAAAATTCATTTACCTTTATTGCGATTATTTGCTTTATTGCAGTTGTTTGAAACCAAATCTGCAATAAATGTGCCTGTATGTATAAACATATGATATATTATTTTTTGAGAGAGTACATGTGTGTAAGTGGGGGAGGGGCAGAGGGAGAGAGAGAGAATCCCAAGTAGACTCCATGCCCAGTGTGGGGATGATGTGGGGCTCGATCTCATAACACAAATCCTGACCTGAGCTGAAATCAGATAGTTAACTGACTGAGCCACCCAGACACCCCTGAATATATTATTCAATAATGTAACTATATACTATATTCTATATACTTATGTATTCTGTATATAACATATAAAATATATAATCATATGTGCACATATATAAAAGTTGTTACTATTATTCTTGCTATTATAACAGAAACAAAATCCCTCAATAGTGAAAGAAGATGTCAAATGTGAGTCTTCCTGGGAATGAAGTGAAGGATCTTTGCCTTGTATGAACCATGTGCTTTACATGGTATCTTACTTAATCCTCACAGACAGTATACATGAGAGAGATTATCAATTCCTGTTTTATAGAGGATGAAACCAGGGCTCAGATCATCAGGCAAGTTGTCCAAGGGCCATCCACATAGTAAGTGGCAAGGTAGGGTTTGCACCCAAACTTTATTTCAAAGGCACTGATGGCAGTGACCTCAGTTCCCACTGAGACAGACATGGCTGAAACCTGCCTTTTCCCTGAGCAGTGGCTGGTACCACTGGCTTCTGGCCTGAGGAAGGGTGTGGATGAGAGAATGCACTGATAACTGAGGAGAAGAATCCTGGAGGAGAATGACTAGAAGGTGTGAGGAGTGTGGGTCTGCTAAGGTCCTGGGCAATGGGAAGAATATTGGCATACTGCCTTGCTCCTCTTATATGCACAGTATTGCTCCATGTTCAGATGCTTGCAACTCCCAGACTCCCCCACACACACCGAAGATGACCATCTAGCCCCCCGTGAGCTGTTTTCACCTCCTGGCTGTGCGGCAATGCCCTTCCCATCCTTTACTCTCCACTCTCCCATCTGCCAGCAGAGCAACCTCTCCTTCTATAAAACCTCGTTGCACAATGGAATGACTAGCTTCCTGCCAACGCCAAAATAGTCTGAGCTCTATCTGTTCAATGCTCAGGACAGGAAATGTCAGAGTAAAGCTTCAGTTCTCTTGAATTTGGAGGAGTCAGGCTAGTTAGTGCTCAGCAAATGGCAAAAATACTTGTTTTATTTCTTTTGAAGAATGGAGGTGAGGAGGGGAACGTATGGCATAGAGGAATGAAAAGCTATGGGTCTTTTGGTCGTAAACTTCAGAAAAGTCTTATGCAGGGGAGTAGCGACTCAGTTGGTAACCTAGCACAAGGGGCTTCAGCTTATCCATAGGAACTAATAAGCACCTAGGTCTCCTGATAACTCTAATGGAAACTTAGATCACTGGAATTCTATCAACTCACCACTAAGGTATTATAACCTTACCTCCACAGTGGGGTATTTCTTGGCCCACGTGCTATTCGCTGGATCTGGAATTTCTTTACTACACCACTGAGGTCTGAGAGCTGAAAGGAGAACAAATACCCTGTAGATAAAGAAAACAATGACATCTGGTTAAGCGTGCACACGGTGGCATGCAAGCATCAGTTCTTAGTGCAGTGATTTCATTGTAGGGTGTGCAAATGAATAAAATAAAAACACTGAAGGAGAAGGATGATGCATCATCTAAGGCTAGACTAGTTTTCTCTGAAGTTTAGATAGAGGATAGAGTCATGATGCAACCATTTGGGGGTTGCTAAATAAATTATGGAACTTTTACTCATCGTAATTTTAGCTGTCACTATCTGGCCATGCATTCATTCAGCAAGCATTGACTCAACCCCTAATGTATAATGAGCCCATTCCATATACTGGGGATGAAATGACAAATAAGACATGCTTCCTACCTGTGGGGAGCTTACTATTTAGAATGTTTATAAAGAGTTTTTTATATGCTAACTTACTTGGATGTAAATTTAAAAAAATTAAGAGAGTTTGTAGTAACAGGTAAAGTATTGTGCCTAAAAGGAAAAGGGGGCGAAAAACACAACAAAGAACAAAACAGGAACATAACCATGTTTTTAAAAAATGCCTAGGAAAAAAATACCATAGGGAAATATTCAAACTGTTAACAGTAGTTGTATTTGATGACCAGAAGAAATACGGCTCTTCTTTTTTTCTTTATCATCTCTGGGTTTTAAAAAATACTTTAAAAAGTGTTTATATTACTTTTATCACATGAAAGGAAAAAAGTCCTAAAAATGTTTCTAATAAATGCACATGACTTAAATGTTTTATTTTTTTAATTCAAAGCAAATTTGAGACATTTTTGAAGAATTGGCTTTAATAAGCTTTGATGTTTAATAAGAATGGAAAGCTCCCTGGATGTTTAGCAAGTGATGTACCCATGTGACTGGTTTCTCTGCAAACAACTGTGAGTAGAGGTACCTGTGACCCAGGACAGATCATGCAGATGAGGACAGTGTCCAAGGGAATCTCAGCCAATAAAGGAGAAGACAACGGGGTCCCTAACGACTGGGTAGCACAGCTGCCAACCAACCTGGATGACTTACTTCAGGACTATTATATGGGAGAGAAATAAACTATTTTTAAAGCCATATATCTGCGGGTGTTTTTTTTTTTTTTTTCTTTTAACAAAAAAAGCTTTTACCCTAACTGATAATATTTCCCTGAAGAGGATGAATGTGATCCTACTTGACTCCATTTGAATTAAACCTTTTCAAAGTCTACCAAAATAGAACTCTGCTTTGAAGTATCTATCACATATGGGAGCTTCAATAAATGTAAAGCCTTTCAGATAAGTTCAATGGCTAGGAGACAGACTTTGAGCTAGTTTTATTTTGACCCCTTCTCTTTACACAACATTTGAAGAAAACTCTGTATTGAATAACATATTAAAAAATTCTTTACAAAATAATACCTATTTAAGGAAACTGTAGAAAATAGTTAAATAGAACTAAAATCCCCTATTATTCTATATTCTGATAAACCACTATCAATGTTTTGGTGCATATCCTTGCAGTAGAGAGTGTTAATTACTACCCAATACTACATCCTCTTTGGAAGAGCACCCTGACTCACTGGGATGACGACAAGCCCAGCTGTAAGATCACAATTTTAAGTCTTTGCCCCACCAAGTTCTGGCCAGTGAAGTGTTACTAAAAGTATCATGTCTGACTTCTTCATGTAAAGCCTCCTGAAAAGGGAAATGTGGGCACCTTCCTCCTCTCTACAGTTGTAGAATGCAGGTGTGATGGCTATAGTTCCTGCAGTCATTGGACCGTGAAGTGAGCTTGAGGAAGCCAAGTCAGGATAATGGTGCAAAAAGATGGAAGGATCCTAGATCCCTGGTGCCTGTAGAGCTACTACACCAGCCCTCAACCTGAATTTACTTTCTTAACCTGGGGGATAAAGTATTAGCTAGTTTTAAAGTCATATTTTGGCTTGTAGCATACAGAACCAAACTCAATGCTAAATGATCTGTCTTGCATATAGGTATGCATGTGTGCATGTACTTTTTAAAGTGAAAGTACATACTGCTTTGCAACCTTTTAAAAATGTAATATTGCAAATACACCATTTTCTATAATTTTATGGATATAATATGCTATACAGCATGAGATCTATTGTGATGTAGTTAACCAATCCCATATCACTGGGCAGTTAGGTTATTTCAAATTATTTTCCTTTAATGAACAATACTGCAGTGAACATATTTGCCACTAAATATCTGCATATACTTAGAATAAATTTCCAGTTAGGAATTGATAGGTCATAGGTCTATTTAAACATTTTTTTAAAAAATTTAACAAAATACTGTTGTCTAAGAAAGTTGAATAAATTTAGTCTGCTACCAGCAATGTATGAGAACGTCCATTTATTTGACCCAAAGTGGCAAAAGCTATTATCATTAAAAGAAAATAAATTACTGAAATTGGAAAATTTAACCAACTCACTTTTGCCGGAAGTAACGCGTTGAGAAAATGCCCACTATGACAACAGCAACGCAAATGCTTGGTGCCACAAACGCACTCCAATTGGCTTTACCTGAAAAGTTAGCAAACCCTGTGACTGAGTTACCTTCAGTGAACATATAAAAATACTCACTTGCATGAACCCTCTGGCACCTACCCATAGCTACTGGGTAGATGGGATCAGGAAAAAGGCCAACTTGGTTTTGTTCCTTCAGCTAGGGAGAATGGGCCCTAAGGGGTCCAGTTCTATGGCTCTAAGGAAGGGGCTCCAGTCCACAAGGGCTCCTTCTTCTAAAAGGGGCAGAAGGAGAGGGAGTATGGCATCAAGCACTGGCTGTGAACTAGGAGCCCTGAATTCTAATCCTGGCTTTGCCACTGACTGATTGTGATCAATGGCCTTCAGATTCCTGATCTGTAAAAGGTGAATGATGACATCTACCTTGCAGGTTGTTGTGAAGATTAGAGATGGTGTCCATAGCACATGGCAATGTATCTGAACATAGGAAGCCTTTGAGAAATGGTATTATTAATTTTACCAAACCACTGGATAATCCTTCTAACTAGCTCTGTGAAATTGTTTGGATTCCTTGCTGTGAAGATGTATTTTGCTATGTGTTGGGATTCTTCATTAAGAATTGAGCATTCACCATGTATCAGACCCTTTTAGGTGCTGGAATACAAAGATGAGGAGGACATGGGCTCTGTTGTCTTAAATCATTAATCTAGTCCAGGAGATAGATGTGTAAACATGTAGGTAACCATGATGCCACGGGATATGCATTTTTAAAAAAGGCATGTAGAAGGCAGTGTAGCAGGGGAACAGCATGAGAAATGGTCCCAAGGGCAACCAGGACGTTGTCCCCAAAGGCATGATGTCATAAGTTCAGATTTGGAGCCAGCAAAGCAGTCAAGTTAGGGAAGCATACTAGACAGAACTATGCAAAGGCATGGAAAGAACAAACAGCATGGAACCTTCAGGCAACCACAGGTAGTTTGGTCATGCTTTCAAGTATGAAAGATGAGTGTGTGTTAAGAGGACGAAGCTAGATGGGTGAACAGGAGCAGATCTTGCAGGGTTTGGTGATGAAATAGTTTGAATTCTAGCTTGAAGGTCCCTGGGGAACCACTGATGGGTTTCAACAGGAGGTGGAATGTCAACATGGAGCAGGCTGTCTTACAGAAAGATTCCTCTGATAGAGTGCAGGACAGGCTCAGGGGGAGGGTGAGCAGGGAGGGTGTAGGAGGCGTGTCACCAAGGCTGAACAGGTGTCAGTGCAGGCAGTTTTTGTTTTCACCCCACACAACACAATCTGACATTTCTTTAGCATATGTCTTCCTTCCTGGGCAGATGGGGCAAGTCTAGAGTACCATAAGTAGAAAGATGCTGAGCCATTAATTGATTAATTGCTCGCAAGTTAACTTTCGTGGAAGCGCTAGGAGATGAGAAGAGGGTTTGTCAACTTTCCCAGTGGAGAAATACCTGGCATAGAACAAAGTCCTAAATGATCAACTTGATACTCCATGTTGCAAAGCAAGAACAGCTTGTTTCATGCTTAGAGCAGATGCAGACGCCTGCTGCCAGAGAGAACAGCACAATTTAGCCAGTGGAGGGAAGCCCATGTTAGGTAGGTCACTCCAATTTAACTCAAGTAATTAAATCTGAGCTTGATTTGTAGTTCTGCCACTTGACACTTGTATGACATTGGGTAATCTTTCTGTACATTCTGGACCTTGTAAAAAGGCATCCTAATCCCTCATTCCTTTATTCATTTTGAACTGAGTGCCTGATACTGTGTGGCCAGGTACAATCGTGTAAAGCAGGCACTTTATGTGGTTGTGGTCAGGATTCAATGAGTAAAAGTTTGTGTTATGAAGGGTGAAATGTGTCCTTTTACCCCAAAAATCCATACACTGAAGTTCTAACCTCCAGAGCGTCAGAAAGTGACTGTATTATAAAACAGGATCATTGCAGATGTAATTAGTTAAGACGAGGTCAAACTGGTGTAGGACAGCCCTACTCTGATATGATTAGTGTCCTCAAAAAAGAGGAAATTTGAGCAAAGAGACACACACAAGGAAAACTCCATGCGAAGATGAAAGCAGAGATCTATAAGCCAAAGAACGCCAAAGATTGCCAGCAGATGAGAGGAGAAGCAGGAAACTGATTCTGTCATAGTCCTCAAAAGAAAACAAGCTTGCTGATACCTTGAACTCAAGACTTCCAGCTTCCAGAACTGTGAGAAAATAAACTTCTGTTGTTTAAGCCACACAGTTTGTGGTACTTTGTTACAAGAACCCCAGCAAACTACAGTATGCAAAGCACTAAACACAATGACTGGTGCATAGTAGCTATCTGATATGCAATAACTGCTTTGTTGTTGCTGAGATTATTCTCATTGGTCACTGAACAGATACTTAGTGAATAAGTACTATGTCCTGGGCACTGAACTAGACCTTGAAGATAAACAGATACCAGTTCCTGCCTATTGGATTCAGTGTTTTGAAGAGGGGTCAAATGTAGTGCATTATGAAGGAATTACGGAGGTGCTGTTGGGAAGGCTTCCTGGAGGAGAAACATTTCAGCTGAATTTTGAAAAATAAGTAGATACTTTCTCCAAGGAGACCATGAAGTGGCAGGGTAGTCCAGTTTAAGGAAACAGCAAGTGCAAAGATGGAGCAGTAAGAGAGTAATTAATGAATTCAAGAAAATCGGATAACCTCCATGCCAAACAAGTGGGACTGTACACCTATGTAGGAATCCAGGGTGGCTGCGCCATCTTTAAAGTTCTTACCTTGCAGACAAAACTCCCTCTTGTTTCCTGGGGGGCTTTCACCAGCAGCTGTCAGAGCTGTTATCCACAGGACATATGTTACTCCAGGCTGCAGGCTGTCTATTGAATGTGAATTCGGGGATACCCTATAGGGAATTTCTGAAGGGAGAATAAAGATACAGAAAGAAAGGCACACGTTATAGGAACTATTTGAATGTGGGCTTTTACTTATTTTGTTGTTGTTGTTAATGCTTTAATTTGAAAGCAAAAAGCACATTGCTGTTTTAAAACTAATTTTTTTAAAACTTCAAGTTAATTAGTACTTAATACTTTACAGTATTAAGACACTGTCATTTATGGACGTCTCACTTCACAACATACCAAAATAATTTTCTGTGGTAGAATCTTTTGAAAGAACTTTTATCATTCTGCTTTGGAAATTATTTGACTGTAGCAACTCCTTTTATTTCTTATGACTATACCGTTTCCAACATTTATTAGATATATTTGAAAACTCTTGGGGAGGAAATTAAATATACCAATTGTTTTCAGTGGAATTTTCAAGAAAGCTAAGTTAGCTAATTAATGAAATAAACATTTAACACTAATTTTGATTTTCTGCTTTTTTGGGGTAGGTTCTGGATACTGGTCTTAATGGATTTAAAATGATGATCTGCTTCAATTTAACATAAAATCTAAAAGTGAGATAAGTGGCATGTAGATTGGATTTATTTGGCAGTTTAACTAGATTATCAGTCCCTTACACTCTCAATACCCCTACAGAGTTTCCGCAGGGAAGATTTTGTTTTTGAGCAACTAGGATGATGTTGTTCTTCCCCTCTGTAGTACATAGGCAATCTCCTTTTCCAGTGACCTGCTGGATGTGAGTTTTGGACTGACTTCTCAAAAGCTAGGGATGAGAGGCGGGAGGACTAGAAGATCAAAGGCAGAATTTTGGCAGGAGTGACCTGCTGGCTCCCTCAGCTGACATGTACCTGTGCTGGTGATCAAAGATGAAACTTGAACCCAGCACTTTTGAGCCTCAACTTCAGTTACCAGCTCGAAACCCCAGGGCAGGTCAGACAATGCTCCTGTTTACTAAATTTATCTCCACAGTCATAAATATTTATTGAGCTTGTGCTCTGGATAAGTCACCGAGTATACAAAGGCACAGAATCTGTCTCAAAGAGTTCACCAGCTAGTGGGGAAACAGAGCCCTTGTATTCCCCTACCCCTGATGACTGTGGGTTACCAGCAAGGAGTCCTGTAATATCATGGCCCCTCAATCCAAAGGGGCCTGAGCACATCACTTAACAGCTGTGACTATCAGAGCAATTTCTATATTTTATATATTTTTTAATTTAATTTTTTAATGTTTATTTATTGAGGGGCAGAGAGAAGGAGACACAGAATCCTAAGCAGGCTCCAGGCTCTGAGCTGTCAGCACAGAGCCCAAAGGAGGGCTTGAACCCACAAATTGTGAGATTATGACCTGGGCCGAAGTCAGGTGTTTCACTGACTGAGCCACCCAGGCACCCCTATATTTAACATCCTGTTGAGAAAAAAGTACCATGTGGAAAATTTCCAAGCCTACTCTAACCTGATGAATTTGTGCAGACTTAAGCTATGTGATTAAACTAAAAAACTCTGTCTTTATTCCTATGGCAGAAGATTAAAAAATTAATTTTGGAGAGACCTTCTGCTCATCTTGCTGCAGCAAAGCATCAGTGAGCATCAGAGTCAAGGGTCCGACCCTATGAAGGCATACTTAACTCAGAGTGAAATGAGACCTCAGAACAGAAGTGAAGAGACTTGAATGGTTTGCTGGGCCAAAGAAGTTTATTTACAAACACACACATACTTGAAGAATAAAAATAGAAACTCTATGGAGGGAGCAGTGAGGAGGCTGATGGCTCCCTCAGTTTGGCTAGCAAAACAGACTGAGTTGAGTAATGGGAGAAGGAAGTCATGCAGGAAATACTGGTTCTGCTGCCTGGTCTGGGCTCTGATCACCAACAGAGATAAGGGGGACATTCAATCCTTGGGGGGCTGAAACTTTAGGCTCGGGGTGGTTAAGTGACAGAGGCACCAGTTTAGGAAGAAGGGACAGTTGCCAGTCATTTGAATGGCTGCAGGTAAGAAGATCAAGTGGTACCAGACAAAATAGCCACACTGTTACTAGAAACTAGTTATTATCTAACAATCTACATTGTTTTAACAAAGAGTAGGCAGTATTCACTCCTGTATGCCTGGCTGTATTGGAGATTCATTGGAGGAGACAACGGTAAGCAAATCGCCCGGGCTTCTGCCTTCACGATGCTTAGAGTCTGTTGACAAAAACAGCCAAGTAGTAACAAAGCACAATGTGTGCGACAGTAGAGAAATGCGCTATTGGTGCACATGGCAGTATCAACACATTTCTGGAGGACTGGCTGTGAACCGGAATCACCTGTGGGAGACACTAAACTGAGGATGCCCCACCCCAGGTGTAGCCCTCCTGTCTGCTCAGGCAGGGCAGAGTGTTCCCACTGCACACTGCGTGTGCCCGTAGCACTGCTGCCCAGTGCACAGCGCCGAGACACACGGGACAGGGGCCCCTCCTCCTTGGCTCTCCATCCTCCTCCTCTGTTCGTGAGCCTCCCCAACCCCCCCGCCCCGTGTCTTTCTCCCTCCTCCTCACTCCTCAACCTACTGCCCTCTACCACTCTCTGGAAACTACACGTGTGGCTTTGCCCATGATTTCTAGTTACCAAATACAATAAGTAGTTGTCAGCCCTTGATGACAGCGGTCACATCACTCTATGTGCTTTTCCATCTCCCTTGGGAGACTGAGCTCCCTGAAGACAGGGGACATGTCTAATTATCAATGAATGCATACTGAATAAAAGGAAAACTTAAACTGGTGTGAAATAGGACTTTGAGTCTGCTTAATGTTTATTTATTGTGAGAGAGAGAGTGCGAGCGCATTAGCGCAAGCGGGGGAGGGGCAGAGAGAGAGAGAATCCGAGAATCAGGCTCCATGCTGTCAATGCACCAATGCACCTCCTCTCCTTTTAATTTATTTTAAAACGCCCTTACATAGACTTCAGATTCATCAGCTTTGTGGTAAAATAAGATATGTAGTTTCTTCAACATGTACAAGAGCAGCTTTAAGAACCAACCGACCGCGTTGATTGTAAATAGGCATCTTGGTTTAAATTCTGCCAAAATGGAAAGTGGGCGTGTCCAAATGGCCTAGGAAGAGGTCAATCAATTCAACTGTGCTGGGGTGCATTTCAGAACTGACTGACCCTGACGGGCCCAGTAGGAAGCGGTTCTGTTCAATGATATGTGCTGTTTATCAGCTGTGAATTAGTTAAGTGACAGGTTGTGTGGCCTTATAATGGAATTCTACAGACCCCTTAAAAAAGAAGGAAGAAAATTCATATGGACTGATGGAAAGATGTCCAGCCTGTATTATTGAGAGGGGTAAAAGCAAGGTGTAGGTCAGAATACAGATGATTGCCCCAAATATATGCTTGTATATGTGTTAAGTTTTTTTAATTTTTTTTTTCCTGGAAGAGCATGTAAAGAACTGCTAACAGCCTAAGTGTGGAGGAAGGGATAATTTCCATTTTTATATCTTTCTGAACTATTTAAATGTTTTTACTATGTGCAAGTTGCACTTATATAATAAAAAGTAACTAGCATTAAAAGTCATAACTTTCAGAAAAGCAATACTGAAGACTTTCTAAGGTCAAGAGAAAGGACCAACTTGTAAAGTTTTCCAGGTAAAAAATCACTCTTGCAGGCAGCTCTCTGGCACACACATCTCAGGTTACATTCTCCTGGACCTAACTGCTCTCATGAAAGAATAAAAATATTGCTTCCTTGTTTCTTATTATTCTCAAGTTAGTTTAAAAATATTGCTTCTTTATGATAAATGCTCCTGAAAGGAAGCCAGTTGCTTATGAAATAAAAAGAAGGTCAAGCCAGGAAAAAACCCCATAACAACTCTGAGTAAGTCAAAGATTAAAACATCATATCTGGCAAGTGACTTGGAGCTGCTACATAAATGAGAGATGAAATCATTTGAGATAATGTTCTAGCCAGGATTTAATAGCTTTGGATTTTTATAGTTATAGAATAATTATTGGTCATAAGAAGTTACTTAAACTGTATTGTATTTTACCCATTTTAAGGAGAAAATAATATGCTACCACAGTATTTACAAATGTGGGGATTCAAAAGTTCTAACTCATCTGTTACAAACCTCAAGGGTCTATGTAATAGTACTGATAGGCTGTTACTGCTTTTTGGTTTTGTTTTTTTGTGTGTGTTTTAATTTTCTTTAATGTTTATTTATTTTTGAGAGACAGAGACAGAGCAGGAGCAGGAGACGAGCAGAGAGAGAGGGAGACACAGAATCTGAAACAGGCTCCAGGCTCTGAGCTGTCAGCACAGAGCCTGATGTGGGGCTTGAACCCACAAACTGTGAGATCATGGCCTGAGCTGAAGTCAGACACTTAACCAACTGCACCCAGGCACTCCAGGTATTACAGCTTTTTGAAAGGCTATCTCCCCATGTGAGTAGCTCCTTGACAGCCTAGTCCATTACCTTCATTTCTTCAATTTGCTTGGCACATAACATATATTCAGTAATGTTGTGTGTGTGTGTGTGTGTGTGTGTGTTTAGATATCTTCTATTTTTTCTTCACTCAATTAATTTCACAAATATTTATTGAGCACCTACTATGTGCTAGTCACAGTACTAGCACCTGTGTGTATGTATGCACAGGCACATACTTGTGTTTTCCCATCTAAATAAGAAAGGCCCCAATGCATTTGTGCCTCACACATACCACAAAGCTGAGGCTGGGAATTGGAGTCCTGTTCCTTCCAGTATATCCTATAATGGAGGATGCAGCCCATTTGCTCCTGGGTTGGAATTTCGTTCCATGAAATTACAATGTTTCCCTTTTCTTCTGAGATGGCATTAATGTGGGGGCCACTCAGTGGTGCTGCGAAGTAGAACACAGGAGGCTTTTGTCACCCTTTAAATCCGAACTATTGAACTAAAGTAAAAATTCGGCAAAAGTTTCCAAGGCTCACCTTTGTGCTTTGAGTTACTCCGGATGGAGCTGCATCCTCTCTGGTCCCCTGACAGTGCATACACACAGATTTCATAACAGCTGTAGGGTTTTATGTTCTCTGCAAGGAAAAGGGAGTTCTTATAGCAGGTTTGCCATCACATGTGAGTCACTAAAGGGAGACATTTAAAAATCTGATATGGATGCATGCAAAGTACTTCTCTTTTCTTAGTTTGAAGATAGGTCAAGTACAGTCTGGACTGAGGGTGAAGGGATGACCTAAGTCACAGAATCTCAGCATCCTATTTGCCATGTTGCTGGCTTCTGGAAGCTACTGCTCCTGCCTCTCAAGTTCACCTCAAGGTGAGACAACAGGCAGACCTGAAGTTTCTTTTCAGGGTCATCGTAATTAAGGATACAAAAGCTATTCCATTTCCAACAAAGATTTAAATATAACCACACAGACTGCTTTTGAAACAAAACTCACAAGAAAAAAATCCCCCACTGATTTCTACAAGCAAATCATTTGCTATTTACAGACAAGCACAGCCAGTGTTTTGCAGGCATGGAACCTGAACACTCTTCTAACTTCACAGACGCTTTTGGGGATCTGACAGGGCTGCGGAATGACACATTCTAACCAGGGCACGCTCAGTGTAATCCAACCCCTTGTTCCTTCCCCTCCTCCCCCACGGCCCCTTCCATGCTCCAATAACATTTCAGTTGCTTCACAGCCTGGAGATGAGGAGGATACCTGGGAAAGTTAATGCCCCTTCCCAGCTTTTAAAATGCCACACTCTGCAACTTTCTGTCAGTCCTGAAGTTTGCTGGTGAGTTGCCTGTTTCTATGAATTTCAGATTTTACTTCCTGTAAAGAAAAGGCCCTTCTCATAGATACTGCCCAGGACATATCTTTAAATTCCCATTGGAAATTTTAAGGGAAAAGAGAACAAATTCCTACTAGGCAACTATAGGATCACATGGTCAGAGTAAGGACTGTCTCCCATATTGCTTAATGCAGATCCCTACACTGACAATTGATTAAACAAAATAAATTGTTTAACATTTTATTTTGGGGGAAGAGGAATTTTGTATCACAGAATAATTTAGTAAATAATGTATGTTTTATATGAAAATCCATGATTCCTTAAACATTCCAGCAAGTACCAACATAAACCTTAGAGAGCAACCAGTACTGTCAGAAGAGCCCACAAGGAGATCCAAACTCATGCCGTGGTGAGTTCCCATTTGTCATATGAACCAAGTGATATGGAGAAAGGACATAGTCAGCTTAGTCCAGTCATCCGAAGATTCTTCACGGTGGCATGCAGACCCAGGAGCCGAAAGGGCAACAAGGAATATGGAATCCTATTTCATTTTGGAGGGGCTAGAGCCTGGCTGCTGTTGCTAGTGCTGGAAGCAGCCAGCCAACCACTGTGCCATGTAGAGCTGTGGGAATTCCAGATGAGCTCATTAGGCAAATAGTATCACTGCATTTTGCCATGCAAAATGTGAGTTCAGGGCAAAGGGTCTGGGACTGCTGCATCAGAAAGAAGCTAGGGGCTTCTTTTTGTGAACAGTCTACCCTTAGGGGAGGAGGGGAGAAGGTGTGGCCCCATAACTTAGTTAACTTTTCCCTTTGCAGGCAGAGGAGAGCCCTAATAAGCTTGATCCCTGGTTCTGACCTTAAAGACTCCTGTTTTATTGGCTAATTCTTACACCAACACACCCTAATCATTAGCTCCAAATTCCTTAGCTTTGCTGTCCAGTGCACAAAGTCCACATTCCTAAGATTTTTATTTCTTTCTATAGTCTGGTCCCAACTTCCAGGCCTATTTCCCACTACTTCCATGCATACATATATACCTGGCATTCTTGGGCAAAGGCTCCGTCTCCATGTTTATAAACTATCGCTTTGGTGGATTTTTTGCAGAAAGCTAATTTCACCTAATAAATGTGGGAGAAGACAAACATTAAATGATCAGTAACGAGGAGTGATCATAAAGGAAGTCTGGTGGGAGCATGCAGAAGAGAGACCCAAATAGCCAGGCATCAGGGAAGGTATTTCTAGACAGCTACAGATAGATATCTACGTATTTGTAAAAGGGGTGGCTCTATATGGTCAGAACCATTTTTACCCACACAAGACAGGACTGATGGTGTATAGCCTAGGCCCCATAAACCTATAATCCAGGAGTTGGATTGTATTATGACTTTCAGAACATATTCCAAAACACCCAACTCTGCCCTAGCCAGATGATGAGTAAGGATCTGAAGGCAATGAGTCACCTTACTGACTGGAGAGTGCCATAATGAATTCATAAGTATGAATTACTTAATTTTTTAAAAATGTTTACTTCCATAATGTAAACATCAACACTAATAGCTAACCAAGTATTTTCAAGCAGGGGAACAACTTTAATTAGTAAAGTTATTTTACCCAGTATACTGTTTTCATTTAAATGAGTATTTATAAAGTGCTTAAAAATAATTTAGTTTCTTAAATATGCAAAACATTCTCTCTTGTCATCTCTTTTATGGTATTTGGGTAGTATTATAGAATTCCTAAAAGGAAGAAACTATAGGGGCCACAGAGCTCAAAGTATCCCACTGAGGTAAATCCTAATATAGTTTATAATATGCATTTACAATTTTGTAGCAGTTTGGAGTTAAGTAAATGCCTTTTCTTTCTATCCACTGTTACATTTGATTTGAAGGGCATAACAGCCCTAATGGGAAGTTGGTTCTACTTCAACAATTCTAGTGACAGGGAATGCACTACCCTGAGGGCCAATCAATTGTCTTATTAGAGACCATCACATGTAAGGAAATTTCTTTCTCAAAATCGAGCTGACATCTGCCTTATAATTTCCTCATAGAGGACTTAGTTTTGTTCTCCAGAGCAACAAAGGACACATACTCTTTCTCATGTATACATCAAAGCCAGCAACAGCCATCAAACCTCCCACCCCCAACTAGAATTCTGTTCTACATGTTAAATGGTTCCCACATTAAATTTGCAGACCTCCAACGACTTGTTCATCTTCCTTTGATGTTCACTGGGTTATCTAGACAGCATTCTCTTTAAGGGCAGTGATTAAAACTGAATGCAACCCACTAGAAGTCTGAGCAGCTACAGTATAAAAGAGGCACACAGTTAATGACTAGCTCACGTGTTGTCACATATTCGGCTCTGCTTATTTTATGTCTTGTCTCCAAATGCAGGGCATGTATATCTTCCTGGACAGGTGTAATGACTGCCATGGTTTAATAAAAATGTTATAGAATTTAGAGCTTGCAAGCCTGTAAGAATCTTAGCTCTGTCACAAATAATAATAACAGTGACAGCTAAATTATCAAGTACTTAAAATGTGTTAGGCACTGTTCAAAATGTTTTCTCTACATTAATTCAGTTAGTCCTCACAATAACCCAATGACATAGGTATTATTATTTTCTCCATTTTGCAGATAAGGAAACTGAGGTAAAGAGAAGTTAAATAATTTGCCCTAGGTCACACAGCCTAGAGACAGAGCCAGGATTTAAACTCACAGAACCTGCACTTATAACTACTATGCTGAACTTATTCCTAAAAGTGACATTGATTAAGTTCTGTCCATCGTTTTAATATATTTTTCAGATGCTTTCTATCACTTAATTGTAACTACTGATGGGTTTGGATTTGAGGAGTAGAAATGCCAATAATTACATCGATAATTCTGGACTTATTATCAAACAAATACTACGCAGCAGAAATGGGAAATGAAAGATCTCCTGGTTTCCTCATCTGTACAATGGCTTATAGAAGTTGCTACATATGATCTGAGAATTGTGTAAACTCCCAAGTGAAAGGTGCCCATGACACTGACTGATTACTACTTAGCTCCCAGCCATGTTTGTTGGGTTCAATGATGCATTTGTCACATACAGCTCTGTGCCAGGCACATGAATTTTCCATAAATACTAGAGATTTTAGTCAATCACTTGGTATTCTATGCCTGCAGTGGTATACTCTGAGGTGCTGTCCTGAAGGACTCTAGGTCATTACTATTCTTCTTATAAAGCTGCCTGTATTGATGAAGGTTCTGGGTTCCCACCTGTGATTTCCTCAAAAAAAGTAAACTTAGGAACTCTCTGAAAGGAAGGTGAACAATTACATACCTGAAATCAGAGCAGACACACTGTAGGGGGGACTCCGCAGCCAGTTTAGAGAGGGCTGTGTGCCACTCCCGGAATGGGGCTCCCTCCATTCCACCACATACTCCTGTACAGCAGGGGCAGCTTTCCCAGGGGGCTCCCAGGTCACCATCATGTTGTCCATACCCTCTGAGTTTGCAGAGACCTGACGAGGAGCCAACAACTCTTAATGGGAAAAGGGGGGGAAGGACAAAAATAAAATCACAGGTGGATAAAGATATAAAGAACTACTTATCCCAACAAAGTTTTCCAAAAAAAAAAGGAAAACAAAACAAAACAATTTCTTTTTAAGAACTTCAGATTTGAGGGTCCCTGGGCGGCTCAGTTGGTTAAGTGTTCGACTCTTGATTTTACTTCAGGTCATAGTTTCACAGTTCATGGGTTAGAGCCCTGTCGGGCGGGCTCTGTACTGACAGTGAGGAGTCTGCTTGGGATTCTCTCCCTCTTTCTCTGCCTCTCCCCCTCCCCCCCCTCCCCAGAATAATAAAATAAACTTCATTTTAAAAAAGGACTTCAGATTTGTTAAAAACAAATCTGGCATCAGTGCAAGGACCCTCTGTAGTTATTATTTGTAGAATTATTTTCCCCTTCATCTTCCATTTTTGTGTCCCCAAAGGTACCTGCTCTAATGAATATAATGTGCATACTTTTAATCTGCCTCCCATATGTTTATTCAGATACCTATGTATCCTTGAAAATTAGTGTGGCTTTGTGTTTATGCTTTGTATTTTCGTGAAATGTGCTGGGAGTAAATGCAATGCTTTTCTTACTTTTTCTTTCCCATTCAATATTACATTTCTGGTATATGTCCATCCTGCTGCTATATGTAAATACAGCTTATTCCTTCCGATTGCTATCTTGAAACTTTTCCTGTCCAAGTGACAGTTAGGAGGTTCCTTCCAACTCTTTGCTAATACACACAAAGATGCAATGATCATTTTCTTGCATGTCCTTGTGTGTCCTGTGCAAGAGTGTCTCTGGATTTATCTGCACAAAGCTGTTCAAGTATAGAGTAAATCCATGTATTGTTTCATTAAACACAGTCAGACTGATCTCTAAAACAGCCAATCAGTTGACACTCCAAAAAGAAAAGTGAAAGGATGCTTATGTCCCCATCACACTTGGTACTCTCTGACTTTCTAATTTTTGCCAATCTGGTACAAGTGGTTTTTAACTGTGGTTTTGTTTTTATTTTCTGATTTCTTATGATGCTGTTTTTCTTCATATATTACTAGCATTCTGACTTCCGCCTCTGTGAACTCCCTGCTCATATACTTAACTCATTTTTTCCTTTGAGTTTCCTGTCTTTTCTCTGATTTACAGAAATAGGTTTTATATTCCAGGTATCAATCATTTGTCAGCTTTCAACACTAGAAATATTATACTCCAACCTTTCAAATCTCTGATAACTTTATGATGTGTTTGTCATACATAACCACTTGCTCTGACATAGGTAAATTTATCTATGGCTTATATAACTTTAAAAAGAATGTTTATTTTTGGGGCGCCTGGGTGGCTTGGTCGGTTAAACGTCCGATTTCAGCTCAGGTCATGATCTCACAGTCCGTGGGTTCAAGCCCCGCGTCGGGCTTTGTGCTGACAGCTCGGAGCCTGGAGCCTGCTTGGGATCCTGCGTCTCCCTCTCTCTGCCCCTCCCCCACTCACTCTCTGTCTCTGTCTCACAAAATAAAATAAAGACAAAAAAAAAAAAAGAATGCTTATTTTTGAGACAGAGAGAAGGAGGGAGAACATGTGCCCACGAGTGGGGGAAGGGCAGAGAGAGAGGGAGGGAGAATCCCAAACAGGCTCTGCACTGGGAGTGGGGCTCAATCTCAGGAACTGTGGATTGTGACCTGAGCCAAAATCAAGAGTCAGATGCTTAATCTGTTGAGCCACCCAGATGGCCCTGGCCTGTGCATTTTGAGTCTTGTTTATGAAATCTTTCCATCTTGGAATCATGAAGATACTCAATTGCATCTTCTCCTATTGGCTGGGAAGGTTTTTACCTTCCACATATAGGTTTTTAATCCAAATCTAGACAAGGGAATAAAATTTTTAAAGGAATAAATTTTATTATATTTTTCCATATTGAGAGTCAATTTTTCCAAATGTGATACTATCCCTAACATACATCAAGTTCCATATATTTATGGGTCCATACCTGGGGTCAGCTTCTTTGCCAGAACACACTGTTGACATTACTAGCCTTTGTGATGTCTGACTACTTGGTTGGTAAATTCCCCTCCTCATTTTGCCCTTCATTTTCCAAAGTGGTTTGGGATATTCATGACACTTTATTCTTCCATATAGCTTTTAGAATCAGTTTATTAGAGTCCCCAGAAATTCCAGCTGTATCTTTTTATTGGAATTAAGTTAAATTTATAGTTTAATTCAAGGTGAACTGATGGTATTCCAATGTTAATTTGTTCCACTCATAAATATGCTATTTCACTGAAATTATTCAGCTCCTTTTTTATATCTTTTAATGAAATTTTAAAAATTGCTTCTTAAGGTTTTTATGCATTCCTTGTTACAGGCTAATTCCTAGACACTTTATACATTTATTTTGCTATTTAAATAACATCTTATTTTCTAGTGCTTTTTCTACAATATGTGTCATTCTTATTTCTGGCAAACCTGCCAAAATTTCTAATTAATTCTAATCATTTGTCTGTTGCCTTTGTTGAACTTTCCACTTAGTAATTTTATTAGCTGCATACTTAAAACATCCTCTGGGGTGCCTGAATGGCTCAGCTGGTTGAGTGACTTTGGCTCAGGTCATAATCTCATGGTTTGTGAGTTTGAACCTTGCATTGGGCTCTGTGCTGACTGCTCAGAGCCTGGAGTCTGCTTCAGATTCTGTGTCTCCCTCTGTCTCTACCCCTCAACCGCGTGCATACTCTCTCACTCAAAACTAAACATTAAATTTTTTTTTCAAAATAAATCACCTCCTTCTAATCTTTAAATCCCTTATTTCCTTTTATGTTTTCATCTTGTTGCAAATTTTAAGGAGAATGTGCCTATATATCTTTATTAAGATGATATTTGCTGAAGGTTTTTGGTAGAAAGTCTTTAAAAACTAAAACAATTTCTCTTCTTCATAGTTTCCAGTTAGGTTTATTTTTATAAAATACTATTTACTAAAATATATTTTCACCAAATACTTTTGTATATCTGTTAAAACATATCCCCTTTCTCTCTTTTTTAAATTATTGTGATAAATTACATTAATACATTTTTCTGATATTGATCCATCTTTATATTCTTGGGATCAATCTGTTGATCATTCTGTCACCCCCCCTTTTTTTTTTTTGCCCTATCCTTTATCTCCTACTAATTTGTTTTTTTGCAAGAGACTTTTATAACACAGATTTTATTTTTAGAGCAGTTTTAAGTTCATAGCAGCATGAGTGAAAGTTGCAGAGGCTTTCTGTGTACCCCTACCCCACATATACATAGCCTGTCCCACTACTGACATCCTGCACCAGAGCAATATACACCATAAGATCTTTTAATACATTTTTTCAAGTATTTTCCCACTTCATTTAGTTTTTTTTACTCTGATTGGAACTCGTTTTAAGTAGCTGTCATAATTTCTCTTTCTATTCTTTCAATCTTTTAAGTTTTCTCAGTTTTTGGCTTCTTTCCCTGATTTTGATGCCTTTTGGAAGTCTCTCACCCAATCTTCCACTCCACTCACTTAGTCATGAATCCTTTCTGCTATCCAACCCTTGGCTGCGTTCCTTACTTCAACAATTAAACTTTCCATACTGACTCTCTTCATTTGGGGCTTCTTCATAACCACCTGACCTGACTGAGTCATGTTTCTAGCATCCTCGCTAATCTTTCTAAGGATATTTGTTATGCTTATACTCAACTCTTGTTTTTTTCTGTGGCATTACTGAGATTTTCTATGGTACATGTTGTTCCCTTTGTTGCCTTTCTTTCCCAGAACTTTTGCCCCTCAGATTTCCCCTAATTTTCTCCTTTAGGATCTTGTCTTATTTTCTTGGATTGCTGGGCATCCTTGGCCTTTATCTTTTTTTTTTTTTTAGATGTTTATTTCTGAGAGAGAGAGACAGCGTGAGCAGGGGAGGGTCAGAGAGAGAGGGAGACACAGACTCTGAAATAGGCTCCAGGCTCTGAGCTGGCAGTCAGCACAGAGCCCGATGCGGGGCTCGAACCCACGAACCGCGAGATCATGACCTGAGCCAAAGTCTGACGCTTAACCGACTGAGCCACCCAGGCTCCCCGGCCTTTATCTTTCTCAGGGAGAGAGTGAAACCTTCACTGTAGTTTGTGCTTCTCCAAGTAAGTTCAGGTGAGGAGGAGGAGCTTTTCAGGGTGGAAAGCTCCAGGACAGATAGCCTACAGTGATGCAGCCTGAGCTCTACCTGTCCTCAGGTTCTCCTGAGGTATACCGAGTACCTCCAGAACCCAGTACTCATGCCTCTATGGCTAGCACTGCTCTGCATGGGGGATCAGGACTGTTATTCTCTTCTGTAGTTGCCAGGCCCATGGGGTGGATGGCAGGAGAAATCTCAAGGGCCCGCCAGCTCACAAGCAGTCTTTGATTTCAGCTCCCCTCCATAGCCAGGTGCCAGGGCTTCTCTGAAGTTACTCTGTTCTTCTCTAAGGACTTTCCTGCTCCACAGTAGAAATGCCCAAGCAATGATCATATCACGACCACATGCGCAAGAAGAAAGAGTGAAACCAGAAAGTGCTACTTGAGCACTCCTTTTCAACACTATTCCCCACTGCTCTCAGCCACCTGTCCTGTCCCTCCTGTGGCATCCTCAGTACTGTGCTTGGTGGTGAGAGCCTGTAACATGAGTATTGGCTATCTTGTCAGGCACTGAAATACCTCAGTAGGGGTTCCCTTATATTCATTTGCCTTGTTATCAATGTTCTGGCTATGCCGTGAGATTTTTTTTTTTCTTTTTGAGAATGAAATGTATTCACTTGGTAAATATTTATTGAGCACCTATAGGTTCCAGTACCCTTGCCAAGCGATGGACTAAAATAGCCAAAGAGCCCTTCTGACCACTGCTTTCTCTGGAATTAGCTAGGCAAATCAACTTGGCATTGCTCTGCATGACTCATTGTATTTACCAGGAACCAGCCTGAATTTCCTTCCCATGATGTTTGTCAGGGCTTGTTCTCTCCTTGAGGACTCTGCTAACAACTCACCTTCTTTCTATCACCTTTCAGACTTATGCCTTTAGCTTCAATCATTCAACTTCCCATCTCCTTTTTCCCCTGAGACCTTCTGAACAGAGTTATGAAGTTCATAAGGTATTTGGAATAAGTGCCCACCTAAGAGACAGGTGGCCTGGTTTTCCAATCCAGCTCTGCCACCAATTGGATGTATTGGTCTTGGCTAGGTTATTTCACCTCCTGGGGCCTCAGTCTCTGACAGCTGTGTGGGTCTCTGTTTATGACTGTACAGGCTTTTAAATTTTTTAAAATTTATTTGTCTATTTATTTATTTAAAGACAGAGTATGTGAGAGCAGGGGAAGAGCAGAGGGGAAGAAAGAATCATAAACAGGCTCCATGATCAGCACAGAATCCAATGTGGCACTCAAACTCACAAACTATGAGATCATGATCTGAGCTGAAATCAAGAGTTGGACACCCCACAGACTGAGCCAGTCAAGCACCCCTCTATAGCTTCTGACTTTTCCCATAGTTTTGAGAATTCTTGAGTACAGGGATGTGTATGAAATATTAAATATGTTTTTACTTGTTGACTGATGGGTTTAGCATACAATTTTCATCACAAAACAACAAAATCACTCTTGTGCTTCTTTCTAGGCAATGCTATGGCAGGTGCTTTTTACAACAAAGTTCTCTCTACTTTCTCAAAATCAACATAATTCTGTCTGGTGGGTTGGGGGTATTATTTTTCTTTTCCTAAAAGGAAAGATATATATGTGTGTGTGTGTGTGTGTGTGTGTGTGTGTGTGTGTGTGTGTGTGTGTATGTATGTGTGTGTATATATATATACTGAAAGAAAGGAAGACAAAATCATAGTACGTTATTCCTACAGATCATTCAGAATACGTGTGAGACAAGAGCGCTCAAGGATGGGACCATGTAATTTGTCAATGTGTCCTCCATGTCACTCTGGTATACACAGGGTATTGGGTGGTTGTATTGGCTGGTTCAGTTGTGGTCTTAGGAGAAGCAATACACCCTTGATATTCCAAGATTTCCAGGACCAGAACTCTCTTAGTTACTGCTCAATTCAAGTACTATCCTATCTTACCTCCCCTGCGTGTTCATCCTTATTGAGCCTCATCTTTATTTAACACCTATCCAGTCTGAGAGGAGAGGAACACGTGTTTTGTTTGTCACTGGTTTCCATCATCTCCCCAGGGACCTCATTTCATTAATTAGTCCCTCTCTCCCCTTAATCTTCATACTCTTCCCTACCCAATTCTTTTTCTCAATTTACCTGCATGCTCAGGTCTCACTTTAAAATAAACCTTCACACCTACACACCTACACTCCCACACACAGAACTGGCTCACACAGAACTCTCCATGTTGCCTCCTACCCTGGCATTCTCTTCAAGCCCATGCTACAGCTTTTCTCTGTTCCTAGAGTTCCCCGTGCATCCCTCTAATCTCATATTTATTATACTGCACCAGAGTTTACTTGTTTTTGTGTGCCTTTCCCACAAGACTTGTTGACTTGGTAAATTTTACCTTTTTCTGGACTCTGCCTTATGTAGTATATGCTCATTAAATGACTGATAAATGAATAAAGTAGAGACCAACTCTAACATAATGAAAGTGTCATTTTGAGAAGTTGTCACCAAATCTAAATAAAGCACCTATAAGGGTGCCTGCATGGCTCAGTCAGTTAAGCAACGGACTCTTGATTCTTTGGCTCAGGTTATGATCTCAGGGTTGTGGGATCGAGCCCCACATCAGGCTCTGCACTGATAGCACTGACAGCATGGAGCTTGCTTGGTATATTCTCTCTCGCCCTTTCTCTCAGTCCCTCTCCTGAGTGTGCATGCTCTCTTGCTCTCTCTAAATAAACATTTAATAAACAAACAAACAAATAAAACACTTGGAACAAGCCCAGAAAATTCACAAAGGTTATATCCTCAAGACCTATCTGCAGTGGTATTTGAAGAAGCAAGGTATTCTGACATATTACATTTTAACAACAGGATACTAAATAGTGGTATGAGTTCAATTTCCCCCACAGAATTCACTTTAAAAATTATATATGCAGTACTTACTCACTGGAGAAAAATTTTTTAAATTATAGAAAGCAAAAGTGGAGGATGCTTGGGTGGCAGCTGAAATAAAGAGTCAGATGCTTAACCGACTTAGCCACGCAGGCACCCCAATACATATTTTAAATAGCATCATCCCATACATACTTCAGAAAGTCTACCTCTTATTATGAGCATTTTTGCTTCTCAATACAAGTACAACTATAATATCACTTTAATGCTAGTGTGGGATTAAGGCAGATGGGAGTCATGATATGTTAAACCATTCCATTCTCTATTATTTTACAGTTAGGTTTTTTGTGGTGTTTCACTATTTCAAAAAATTTTCAACAAACATCTTTGTGCCTACACTTCTAAGCACCTACCGTTTGCTGAGGATACATTTCTAATGGTAAAATTCTTTGGCCAAAAATATGTTAGTATTTGAAGTTTGTTAGATGTGGCCAAATGTCTTCAGAAAGTTGTATGAATTTACATACCCACCAGCAGGGTACCAGTGTATCTCTTCCCCACACTCTCCGCCACATGGGTTATACTAACTCTACTTACTCTTTCTCAGTCTGATTTGGTTTCTCATGGTTTTTTTTTTTTTTTTTCTTTCAAAATTTGCTTGTCATTGATTGCTAGTTACATTGAACACATTTTCACATCTTTATTGCTATTTTAAAATTTTATTTTAATGTTTTATTTATTTTTGAGACAGAGAGAGACAGAGCATGAACAGGATGAGGCAGAGAGGGGGACACAGAATCTGAAACAGGCCCCAGGCTCTGAGCTGTCAGCACAGAGTGACATGAAGCTCAAATTCACAAACTTTGAAATCATGACCTGAGCCAAAGTCAGATGCTTAACCGACTGAGCCGCCCAGGTGCCCCAAATTGCTATTTACATTTTTAAAGCTTTGTTTATGGTGGTTTAAAATTTTTTATTTTACTATGCATGGAGTTTAGGCTTTTTTTTCCAGACAGTTAATTCATCTTTTTCTTCAGGTTTCTGCCTTGGATACCTACCCACATTTGACAGAGATTATCAGTTAACTCCCAAACACTCTCTCCTCATCATCTTCAGCAAGGGAACACTGCTGACTGGAGTATATTTCTAAGTCTCCTCTGCAGTTGGATGTGGCCAGGTGACCAGGCAGAGTCAATGACTCCAAGTGTGTTGTATGACCTGGAGGAAAGCTCCTCGGGGTGAGGGCCCTCTTCTCTTCTTTTCCTAGAAGAAAGTAGCTAGGGCTCTGGCAGCCATCTTGGACAAATTCCATCTCGAGGATGGAAGCCAACTTGGCAGAGGGAACAGAAAGGAGCCTGGAATCCTAATGATGTCACCAAGCTGTCACACCAGCCCTGGGCTGTCTACCTCTGAACTTCTTTTATGTGAGAGAATTAATAAGCCACTCTAATCAGACCTCTGGTAAGAGCAAACCCTTACTGCTAAGAGCAATTCCCAACTCATATACCAACCCAAAGTTACATGAATATTTACTTGTATTTTCTTCTAGTTATTTTTAGCTCCTCTATTATCTCTATGTTTATGGCTATATGACTGAAAAGATATATAACTTAGATTTAACAGTGTATATAAAATGTCATGTTTGAGTAGAAGCTTCTTTCAAATGATGATTGCTAGACTCACATGTAGATAAAGTTTTTCCACTGAATTTTAAGAAAGGATTTAATTATAGTTTTATTAGGCATTTTTGGAAAAGGTAGGCCAATGATCTTGACATGGAATTAATTTATAATATGGAGTTGAGAAATAACATTTATATCCATTTTATTGACGAATCATAGGTTTTTATCTTGAGAAATTAGTTTTCAGAGCATGTAACTGTAAAATGTGTATAGCTAGTAGGGAGATCTTCAATACAGATAATTGTTACATATCTAAATTTGTGTAATAAAGAGCTATAGTACAGAAAAATTTTACTGTACTTTCATTACAGCCAGAATATGCTTGATTTAAGTGTAGAATTTTTTTTCTAGAACCTGACAACACATGCTATTCTTGATCCTAGAAAAATTAACCAAATATTAGTGTTCAATTTAATGTAACTAATATTTTCCAACTAACATTAGTTAAGCACCTGCTATATATGAGTCTCTGTATTTAATCTCATGATGACCTGCAAGACAGATCATATAATCCCTACTTTAGAGAGGGGGAAACTGAAGTTCACACATGTTAATTCACTTGTCCAAGACTGGGTACAAAAGAGCCTCTGAAGGCTGTTGGCTCCAAACTCCTGTGTTAACTCATTCCAGGCCCTGTTCTGAGCCTGTGGGAGATAGAACGTAGATAAGACACAGTTTCCCATAGGGAATCATTGAGGGAAAGTTGGTACTTACCTGCCTCACACAGGTCCGTTATGTTAATATGAGTTGGCAGGGAACTGCCTTTTGAGTTGGCTGCAGACACAGTTGCAGCCCAGTTCCCAGTTCTGGGAATGATCCAGGTCCAGGAGGTATGCTCTGTGATATTCTGTATTGTGACTTTCCCCCCTGCCACCTCCTGCAAGGTCACTTGATAGTGGAGGATTTTTCCTCTTGCCTCAGATACACTCATATTCTGCAAAGAAACACATCCACTTACTGTGTAGTCTCAAACAAGGTCGCTGGATGCTTTGTGCCTGGACCTTATGGCTCCTGCAGCAGCAGATTATACCTGAATGACCCTTTTATTTACATTTTCTCATCTCCTGCACTGCATATTTTTATGCCTCCACCCAAACCCACCATTTAGGGGAAAAATCAGTTAATATTCTTTACAGCTAATTCTTAAAGGCACATTAGTTTTCCTTTCTTGTTTCAAAATGAAACTTTTCAGTAGAGAACTCAATTACATCCAATGGAACAAGAGTGGAATCTGAACTCAGATGATCTGGGTTTCAGTTCCAGCCCTACCAATCCCTAGCTGTGTGAGCCAGTGAAGGCATTCAGTGCCTCTGAATCTCCATTTCTAAATCTGTGAAACACACACATACACACACATATTTAACTTTTTATACAGAAAGTGTAATGCTGCTCATTAAATCAAAAATGAGATTTTTCAAGAGCTAAACTAGTAAAATCCACACTTCATGAACTGCATTAGCCATCTGTCCTAGGAAAGTGCGACACTGTTTATAAATGTGTGACTAATGAGTTTTGGAATTGCAAGAATTCCAATTGAGATCATTTGGGAGGGATCCCAGAAAGTAAGCAGAAAACTAATTATTTGTATTGTAACCCTGTTTGGATAAGGACCATGGGAAACAGAAGCTATGAAAATGGAGAGCTGCCAAGGCTAGCATTGGCAGTGCCCATCCATGCCTAGTACAGGGAGAGGAAGCTTTAACTTGCCAGACTTAAGCATTACCATTTTCTTGGCAAGGCTATTCCTTCATAGGTGCAGGTACTGAAAGCCACAGCTTAGGACTGCCAAATGCCCTTTTCTCTGATTCTCTACCCTTTAAGCAGTCGTCTAATAATTTGGTTTCCTGTGAAGTTTATCTTTCAGGAGAGACTGGGGTAACATGAACATCTGGTTTACTTAAAATTTATGTTTTTCACTTTAAGTGAATAAATTGGCCTTCTGATTATAATTTCGCTTCTGAAATAATTAGCATGCTGAGAGAGAATGTTCCTATCTGCTGACTCAAGCCTTCTAGTTAGCCCAACAGCTGCATTCCTCACTATAAATTAATCCATGAACATCTAGCTTTTTATATTTCAGTCTCTGGGAACTTGATTAATGCAGGTCCTATCCTAAGTGCCCTTCTGGATCCACAAGGTCCAGCACTGGATCTTAAACCATGGTCAATGCACCAAGTGAATGCCATGTTGCTGAGGGTTCTTTTGAGTGCATATTCAGTCTTTCCCTGGAAGACATTTTTGTATTCTGGCAAGAACCAAGGAAATTAGTATTTTAATTGTCCACCACAATCAATCCTATAGGCCTGTTGTGTGGATTAAAGCGAATGCTTTTGAGATTGTGATGTACTGAATTGTTATTAATCAACATGCCCTTTGTCACAGGAGAAAGAACAGGGTAAGTTAAAGCAAAAGCTGGCTGGGGAAGATCATTCCCTCAGCTATCTGTCACTCTATCATTCCCTGTCTCCTTTGTAGGTCCAGAGACAGAACTATTAGTCCACCCTCACACCATGCATCCCTCAGGGCACTCCTCGAGTTAACCATGCTCACAAAACTCCCCATTCTTGACAGGAACGCAAGGGGCTTCAGTCCTATTCTGACAACTGAGGAAACCGAGCCCTAATTGAAAAAAACACCTTGCAAATCAGCCTTCATTACCTTCCTCCCACTGTCCTTCACAGACACCTCAGCAATCTCATTCAGTCCTATGGTAGAGTGCTGGAAGAAGGCGGAAATGCCAAATCAACTTGGATCCAATGAACCTGCCTATGGACTGCTGCGGAAATCTAGCTGATTTCCACACACTACACACTGCAGTGACCTAGTAAACAGAAATGTGGATCTGAAAGATGAGTGAAGGTTCCCAGACAGTAGTAAAGGTCCTGGACCCAAACCCTTGTACTTTTCTCCTCTACATCCCATATTTTGGAATTGAAGATATCATTGAGAAGGTGAAGGTGGAGTTACAGTACTTAGAGAAATAAATATGGTATCCTATGAATTATGCTTGTATAAAATATCAAGCTCAAGTTTTGGGATAAAGGTTGACATCACTCAGGAAATTGGTCTTCACAAATTTGAAAATGGGCATAACTTGTGCAACCAACATGGTCCATGGAACAAAAACCCCAACGAGCCAAAAGGAAAACAAGTATTTATCCAGCTGGGCACACAGTCTTCTGAAGCAACTGAAAACAGTGTAATTTGGTTTTTAAGAAAAATATTAACATAAAGTTTGCAAATAATGCATGTAATCCATCACCTCCAGATTTTACTTGACCCTGATATAATGGAATATCATCACAGAACTTCAGAACCAGGAAGGACTGTACAGTTTAACAATTAATTCAACGGTTCATTTTATCAATAGGGGAACTAAGTCCAGGACATGAAGTGACTTACTTAAGGGCTCTCAAGGGATAGATAGGGAGCTGAGAGTGGAATCCAAGGCTCCTGACTAGCGATCCCTCTACTCTGATGTGCTGCTCCTTATGTTGGCAAGCCTAAGACAACTGGTCACCAGGGGGCACCATGCTTCATAGTAAGAATCCCTAGTCACCCTCTCGCCCAATGTGGGAAAGCAGCTTGTCTAATTGTGAGGTTGTGGTATATTCTGATGCGAAGCATCAATAGCAGACATCGGGTTAGCAATTTTGTGAGGGCGGAGATCCAGAATTCCTTTTTTCCAGAGCCAACAGGCCTTGTGTCACAAGGAGACAAGCTGTGAACCTCAAAGAACTGCCACCTGAGGAGCCAGCTGGGTCTTTCTAGATGAACTTCGTTTATTCTAATATTTATATTTATACACTTATATATTTATATTTAACATTTCTTCCAATGTTTTATTCCGGTTATATTTGGGTGGGTGATAGGGAGAAATTATCATTTATTGGGCCATACCATGAGTCAGAAGTTTTGCATCTATTGTCACATTTAATCCTCACATCTCCCTGTCCTGAGGGAGCTGAAGCTTGGATAGGTTAAGACACTGACTCAAGTAGTCCCCACAGAAGAGTTGAGATTTTAGTGCATCCCCTGGTGGGCATGGGAGAGGAAGGCGATGTCTCGAATGTGTCCAGTATCTCTGGTACTTCTTGTACCTTTGTGGGCAGTGTTGAAAGCAGGCCTCACGCCAGTGTTCTTATTGTCATTGTCACCCTCTCCTTTTGGTAAGAGTATGCTAAGCACAAAAAGCTGTCGCACTGCCCCCTTCAGTTTCCATGTGCAAGAAATGATCTAAATTTTCTGCTCCATGTGTAAGAAATGATCTAAACTTAGTAAAGTTAGCTCTTCTGACTTAGGTTTGTCTGAGAAGCAAAGAGCAAACAGCTCCCTCATAAACTACTGTGAGAGTTCTGTTGGGTGAAAAGGCTTTCACCATGAAAATAACTTGGTGAACGTATCTCTGATAGGACATGTCAGAATGTAAGACCTCTGTTGTTTGTTCTGTTTTTAAAGATTTTATCTAAGTAATCTGTGCACCCAACATGGGGCTCGAACTCACAGCCCTGAGATCAAGAGTCACATGCTCTACCAACTGAGCCTCCAGGCACCCCTATTTTGTTTTTAAGTATATAGGAGGAAGAGGGTTTCTGTGAACTGATAAATCATGTCTTCTTAAGACTTAAAAAACCTACTTCAGGTGTCATAAAATAATAGTTTATCCTAACTTCCCCTGATACAAACAAACAAATTTGTCAGAGCTTAGCCTATATCAGAGAAGAGAGTCTGTGGTCAAGACCTGGTACAAAGCTGGGGAATTTGAGTATGTCACAGTTTTGTCTATGAAGACTTCTGGGATGGCAAGGTTGGTTTTGGAACACTACTGACCTAGCTTTTCTTTGCTTTCCTGCTCCGCCATATAGCAGCTGTGTGACATTGGCCAAGTTATTTTACCTCTCTGAGGCTCAGTTTACTTATCTGTAAAATGAGGTGATTCTATGTATAGCATAGACTTACTTACTGAGGGATTCAATGGGCTGAAGGAGGCAAACCGTTTCAAAGAGTGCTGGGTGCATGGCAGTTGTTAAGACACTTGGTGAGTTCCCTGCTGTTGGTTACTCTAGTATAAAAATCATCATGCCTGGCACTTTTCCATTATATTCATATGACTCTCCTACCAATCTATGGAAGGCCAGGCCATCTTGACTTGGCTCTCACCACAGCTCTGTATGAAAATCTCACCAATGTCATACAGTTGATTACAAAGCACATATAACTTGTGGGTTTAAGCCTGGGTATTGATTTCAGAACTCATGATGGCGTTCAGCAACCCAGCCCAAAGGGAAGGAGCACCTCAAAAGATAACTCTCATCTGGAAGGTTTAAAAATCACTGTATTGAAATGATCCGTCTATGGATCTGTCCTCCCATGAGCCTGCCAGTTCATCTTTGTGTCCTCAGCGTCCTGCAAAACACCTGCCTCCAAATAATTGAGCAAACACTTTCCGTAATTCTCTCATTTATCTTTGCAACAACCTTATGTGGTATATACTATTATTATCCACATTTGTGAGGAAAGGAAGGCACAGAGAGGTTAAGCACCTTGCTTAAGAACACACAACCAGCAAGGAGTGAAGCTGCAACCTGAACCCAGAAAGCACAGCTCTGCCCAGAGGGTGAGGTCTTAACTGCTGTCATGTTAGCACTTTCTAGATTCTCCCAGGTGTTTTGCTACCCTGAACTTATTTAATGGATACTAATACTTCATGGTAGTTACTGAGACATCATGAATTCTGACTTGTTTTGCAGCAGAAAAACAGGAAAATAATGGAAACTTTGTTAGAGCAAAACTTGAACTCCCCTTCCATCTCTTTTTTTCTGTCTTCTGTTAATTCTCTGCTACCCACTTTCTTACCTTGTCATTGACCACATTCTGTTATCCAACTGAGATTTCTCTACATTACAGCTTGTATAATATGTGTGACTAGTAAGC